CGCCTGGCTGTGTGTGAGCCCCTCACAGCGCGCCTGGCTGTGTGTGAGCCCCTCCCCTTACAGCGCGCCTGGCTGTGTGTGAGCCCCTCCCCTTACAGCACGCCTGGCTGTGTGTGAGCCCCTCACAGCACGCCTGGCTGTGTGTGAGCCCCTCACAGCGCGCCTGGCTGTGTGTGAGCCCCTCCCCTTACAGCGCGCCTGGCTGTGTGTGAGCCCCTCCCCTTACAGCACGCCTGGCCGTGTGTGAGCCCCTCACAGCACGCCTGGCTGTGTGTGAGCCCCTCACAGCACGCCTGGCTGTGTGTGAGCCCCTCCCCTTACAGCATGCCTGGCTGAGTGTGAGCCCCTCCCCTTACAGCGCGCCTGATCAACTTTAAAACCACGTATCTACGGTTTCACTGGTTCACACGGAACAAAGACTGGCATAGAGCTTCAAGCCAGTACTTTCGACAGAAGTAGCTGTCAATGTTGGCCCGACTGTTGTTTTGATGCAGTGCCGGCTTGAACAGGTCACATGATCACGGTCGACTCCTAAGGGTTAATGAAATTATGTGTATTTTGATATCTTATAAACAAGATCAGTGACACAGGACTCATACTAGATCTTTCTAGAAACCCCCCTGAAGGCCCTTTGATCTGATTGGATGATATGTATGAATTCCCTCTTTAATGAAATGATCTGTATTCTGGGATCTTTTTCCATCTCCTTACTTTTGTAAGAGCACTCACTCATCCTCCTCCAGCCCATCGGCACCCCCTCAGTGGGAGCAGCGTCCCCGTGCAGCGTCCCATCATGCACTGCTGCTTCCTGCGCCACCGTGTCCTCCATCTCCGTCTTGATGAGGAACTCCAGGATGTCCGTGTTCTCCTGGCTCTGGTTGTGGTTGTGGCTTTGGCTTTGGCTTTGGCTCTGGGTCTGGGTCTGGTTGTGGCTCTGGTTCTGGTTCTGGTTGTGGCTCTGGGTCTGGCTCTGGGTCTGGCTCTGGGTCCCGTCCTGGCTGTGGGTCCCGTCCAGGCTGAGCACCAGGCTGCTGTTGAAGAGGCGTCCGTGCATCGCCTCGTCCATGATGTGGAACCACGGCCACGACTCCACCGCCCCCCCGAGGCTGTCCTGACCCTGGTACGGCTGCTTCAGGTCCTGACAACACACACGTTTATTTATACAACAGCTTTCAACACAAGGCAATTCAAAGGTCTCCTATTATACTATTTTTAAGCATATATTATAGGTCTCAGACATATAAAAATATATTAAAAACATGAAATCTGAGAAAATGTTTAAATATCCGTGAGTTAACTATATTCCCCGTGAATATCAAGCAGTATTTGCACATGTTGAGCAGTGTCTGAGTGATCCCTCTCTGCACCTCCTCACCTTGTATTTAGTCCGCAGGTTGTCCCACTTCTTGGCGATCTGGTCGGGCGTCAGCTTCCCCTCCAGACCGAGACCCTTCAGGATGGTGCTGAGGAACAGACAGAGCGTCACCAGAGGACACCTCAGCACAGGAGATCATCACTTACACTTCGGGGTGTAACGAAATTATTCGGTACGGGCCCAAATATAACGTTAAACGTAAAAAATTGCAAACGTGAACAACTTTTTGGAAGTAATCTCAGGTGCTGCGTCGCAGCATTCAGAGTAATTTGCTCAAAGAGTCATAGAGCGAGCAAGTCATTTCATTGGACGAGAGGCATACTAGAGAGCTGGTCAGAGGGATGCGTTCAAATTTAGTCAAGTCTAAAGTATACATTTGAATTGTTTGGCACTGACTTTTCCTCATTGATGTTTTATGTTTTCCTTAGTTATGTTTTACCCTCCTTTTCATGTTTATTGATGTTCACTGCTGGTGCTACCTCAGAAAGTTCATTTTTATACTGAGAAACTGTGAACCTTGAAGCCATATCAAAATGTTGAATTGTTCATTCGGGGATTCATTTCAGAAATAAAACCAGCTTGAAATGCTATCTTGGTCTGTTACTCCTTTTTGTTTGAGTCTCTGTTACCTTGAAGGTGGTTGTTCTGTTCAGTAACTTGAAAAATAACCATAATAACCGACACGAAAAAATATCGTGATAAATATCGTCTATCGTGATACTGCTTGAAAAATATCGTGATAATATATTTTTCAATATCGCCTACCCCTACTTGTGAATCATATTTAAGAACTTTCTTGTTTTTATTTATCATATTTAAGACCCCGCAGGGACCCTGTATTTGGGTCTTAATGTGTGCACTTGTCTAAATGTGTATATACATATTTGCACACATTTTGATATACATTTGTTTTTATATTCAGGATTTTGTGAACTGGTATTTCTCTCTCTCTCTCTCTCCACACACACACACACACACACACACACACACACACACACACACACACACACGCACACACACACACGAGCACACACACACACACACACACACACACACACACACACACACCGAGTGGAACATAACGACGGTGCTAATAAGTGAAGATACAGCGGACGTTGATGTAAACATTTGAATATGTCTCTTATAGTTAGATGCTGGTTGTTACCTCCACGCTAACTTGGCAGAGTTCCTCTTCCCGGTGAACAGAGCCTCGTTGGACGCCCTGAGCTCTATCAGCCTCTTCACGTCCTCCTCGGTCACTGCAGGTCAGAGGTCAAAGGTCAGGGTCAGTACATCTACAGTGTATCAATAAAGTAAATATTAACTTATCTTACGACCCCCGCCCATTCAGTTCCTACAACAATACTCACTTTTATAGGAGTTTTCTGGGAACTGCGGGTTCAGGGCCATTGTGATCATGGAAGAAAATGAAGATGAAAAAGCTCCTTATTCCTGCTGCAGTGAGGGAGGAAGGGGGGAAGGAAAGGAAACGAGGAGGGGTGGAAGTGTGCTCATCACGGCTGTAAAAAGAGAACTGGACCCAGCCTCGTTCAGTCCTGTGAAGCTGCTCAGTGCTGCATGAAGCCAGAAATGGAGCGACTGTAGATCCAGAAAGGACCCGGATGTGGGCCCACTGAGCATGCGCGGTTGAGTTTTCCCTTAGGCCCCGCCTCCGGTCTCCAGCTCTCTGTCAGTCAGATGAATGGAGAAATAAATAAGGATTCTGCTTTTAGAGGATTTCTTTGAGGCCCAGTGACGTCACGGACTGGTGTAGTACCACCGGTTGGCCACTAGGTCATTCCAAATATGGGATTCAACCTACAGCGCACTTCCTGGTGCTTCTGATATTCGCCTGTAGTACAGTTTGATTTAACATGGGACTATTTAAGGTAATTTTGCTGAAGCTAAGTGTAGGAATACTCTGTTACTATGAAGTCCTGCATTCAAAATGTTTCTCAAGTGGAAGTATAAAAGTATTATCATCAAAATATAGTTAAAGACAGTAAAAGTAGTCATTGTGCAGATTGGCCCATTTTAGAATAATATATATGATATGTTTTATAATGATTGATCATGAAAGTGTTCTCAAAGCTGGTAAAGGTGCAGCTAGTTTGAATGACTTTGTATTCTGCAGGGTAGCTTGTGGATTTACTCCAGGTGGAACTAAAGTCTGATTTAACACTTGATTATATTTCACATCATTCATCCACATCTGTGAAGTAACTAAAGGGATTAAATACATGTAGTGGAGTACAAGTACACCATGTACCTTTGAACTGTAGTGGAGTAGAAGTACCTGTAAATGGTACTTCAGTACTTAGTTACTTCCTGAGAGAAACAACAACAGCTGAGGCCTGGTGCCGGCTAACACTCTTTTAACGGCTCCGTTTCCCTCCGTCCATCATGTGAGTCCCGGTAGATTTACCGGAACATTTCCCCGGTGAGCTGTCTCCTCCCGTTAACCGTTAACAGCTCGTTAGCTTCAGCGGCTAACGGCTAACACAACACAACAATCACAGCTCAGTTTCCCGCCACACGAACACACCGCTTTCCGTTCTTTTGGGCTAATTTAGACAACCGTTGTCTGACGTCACGAGGTGCCATCATCCCCGGAGAGCATTCAGCGAATAAATCCGTTACCGTTACCGGAGCTTTGCCTTGCCTGCGTCCCGGTTACCGTGAGAGGAGAGCAGGGAGATGATGATGATGGGTCTTGTCTTTTCCCAACGATCCGGATCTAAGAGCCAACTCTGTGTCGTGAACGAGAAGAGCCGGATCTTTAGGCGGGACTTCATTGTGATTGGCACACCATGCGGCCAATCACAGACCAGGGCAGACACAGATTCAAGTCTTCAACGTGTATATTTTCGACTTTTTTTTAAAGCTATTTTATTTCAATTTGAGATGTTTACATGTTGGATTGTTTATTTCTAGTCTTTTAATAAAAACCCTTAAAATTCATAAAATTGTAACTTGAAATAAAATAACATAATATAAAGAGAATATACAAGAGCCGAGTCAAAAGAACCGGATCTTTGAAAAGAGCCGGATTTCGCATCACTAGCGAGCTTCCGTCCGTCACGTGATCTGCGGAGGGCGGGGGTCTGATTCCTCTCCGAGTTTTATTTATTTAACTTCAATGAACCATTATTCCATCAGAAAAATGCACTTAAACATCAGAGTTCATTCATTTATTAGAAACTTCCATTCAAGTCTCTATCACCACGTGCTCAGCAGCTACAGTCCTCCAACAGAGCAACATGAATATATATAGGACATATATAACTAATAAAAGAGATACAATAGTGCAAGAGAATGTTTGGAGATGTGCAAGAAAATACAAATAAAATAGAAATAGAGCAAGAAGAGTTTATATACAAGTACATGGAATAGCCTATGATATAAATAATTAGCATAATGCAAACAGATGAATGTTTATGGATGTTCTTTACAGAGTTCAGGTGTTTAACAGTCTGATGGCCTGTGTGTTTGTGTGTGTGTGTGTGTGTGTGTGTGTGAGAGAGAGAGACAGTGTGAGAGAGACAGTGTGACAGTGTGTGTGTGTGAGAGAGAGAGACAGTGTGAGAGAGACAGTGTGACAGTGTGTGTGTGAGAGAAAGACAGTGTGAGAGAGACAGTGTGTGTGAGAGAGAAAGACAGTGTGAGAGAGACAGTGTGACAGTGTGTGTGTGAGAGAGAGAGACAGTGTGAGAGAGACAGTGTGACAGTGTGTGTGTGAGAGAAAGACAGTGTGAGAGAGACAGTGTGAGTGAGTGTGTGTCTTTAGTCCTGATGTATCTGAGCGCTTTATGAACAGAAAACAGAAACAGTGGTGCCTCAGGAATTAAGGGGTTTAGAAATGTGTACAACTGTTGGGCTTTCCTACTTTTGCAATTACGTTTGTGTATATTCATGTCATTCATAAAAGCTATCAGTTCAGAGGAAATGTTGGGTCGCAAACAACTTGAAGGTGCATGTACGCCCCCTGCTGTACAAGAGTCATCATGTCACTCCATCTCCACTGATGCGAGTACACTGTACCACCATGATTATATCATGTTTCAAATTAAACAGTGTATTTCTGGTAGCTCTTACCTCCTCTCCCCATGTTCCCAGAATCCTCTCTGAACGATGAGCTTTTTAATCAAAAAGTCCGATTTTTATATTCGTTTCAGAAAAAAAGTCAGAATTTTTTGATTTTCGGAGAAATGTCAGAACTTATGGAAAATGACTGTTTCTATCTTTTATCAATCAATCAATCAAT